AACCCTTACTCGCTGATCAGAGCTGTATAAACAAAACCTGAACTCGTCTGTAAATAGTACACGCTGCCAATCCTCAATATTCCAGCCAACATGTTGTCTGCCAAATTGCAGTCTTGCTCTAAGATGATTTGCATTTAACTTCGGTCCTGTTGCTGGAATTCTGAAGGTCAAATTCTGTTCCGCAAGACGTCTTCTTACGATGGACACACTTGTTTCAAAATTATGAGTAGCATTAAGTTGTACCTGTACATTTCTTGCTGTTACAAATCGTTTTCTCAAAGCATGCAAATAAAGGAAACGATCATGTACGGCTGTTGTCATTCGATGCTTTCCCTGCCCATAATGTCTGTTATGATCGTTGGTTTCTTCAAAACGTCGAATAACACGGGATATTAAGGTATGATTTACTTCCAATCTTCGAGCTATGGCACGGTAGCTTAATCCTTGTTCGGCCAATGTAATAATTCTTACACATTCATCACGATTCAAATTTCTCTCTTGGCGCTCCATTACAACAATTTTATGCAGAAAACTTAAATAAAAATGATAGTTTCTGACATTTGCACACCATTATTTATTTTCAGTGACCTACCTATGTTAAGTTTTTTCATTTTACATTAAACTGGAGTTATTTATTCTTTAGGTCGTTTCAAATTTCCGGGAAAAAACTTATTATCACTCGTGCACCCTGTATATACTCAAAATGTAAATTTAAAAAAATATTTCAATAAACTCATTATTACCGATGAATAAACCTATATGTTGTATACAATTCAATAAAATCACCAAATTCGTTTTGGCGGTTCGCGAGAAAATCAACTTTGAACATGTGTCAAATTTTTAATGGCCATAAAACATTTTTTTTTACTGTGAAAAACTGCTTCTATATCGATTCTAAGTCTATTTTCAAGGGATACATTTTGATTTACACAGAAAATTTTAACGCCGGTAGATTTCCAAGTTGTGTACCTTTAACATTTACCGTGTAATAATTTTTAATACTTTCTGATAATATTTTGCAATTACAGTAATAAAAAAAAATCAAGCAAGTTCGATCGTGCCTAAATTAAAATCGTGACCAAAATGGCGTTTAACAAACTTGATACATAATATACTATAAAAATAGACTAAGGTAGTTTTTATTTTGAATTTAATTTAAAAAGCTTAAAATAAAAGTGTTTTGATTATAATAATTATTGTTCAAGAATTTGTTTATTTAGGTTTTTTATTTTGAGTAGTTTTCAAAAATTATACTTTAAATTATGTTTGGTTATATGTAGTAAAAGTAAACACATGGTTAAATTTTAGGGTGGTAAATTATTTTTGTTATTTAGTTTATGTCAAAACAATTTATTCATATTTAAGCGATAGCCGTGATTGATTGACCACCCGTTGCAACGAATTGTTATAATTTTATTAGCTCACTACAGTAAACATATTTTATACCTTTTTCCTACTTGAATCCTCCAGTATTAAAATGAGATACATGTATTAAAATATTCCTATCTATCAATATGTGCATAGAAATGGTTGCAAAAGCCATCAAATATTTATAAAAAAAAATGAATATATACTTCGGGGCTTTTTGAACCATTTGAATGCACAAATTGATAGGTAGTATTTTTTAATGTATGGTTCTCATTTTTAATTAAAACGGATTTAAGGGGTTTTGATAATAGGGGATTTACTTCAGGTTTTACATTTAATAAAAATATTACTGCCGAACTAATAGTACGGGGATACGAAAAAAATGCAAAACAGCCAATTAGGTGGTAGTTCGTGGTACATGTATATAACAAATTAAAGTATCAAAATACCGCCAATTATTTAGCTACACGTATTCAAAAACTTTGCAACCCAATTAAGATTTCAGTTGAAAAGCTCGAAATAATTGACCCACTCGAGGCAAAATTCATTTAACGTAGGCGTAAGGGTGTCTCAACTTTTGTTTTGAAAACATTCGAAACTGTGTCACCAACGTTACATGTATAGATAACCATACATAACAATACTTGGAAGAATGGAATATTTGTAGCCACTGCGACATTTTCTTTCCATTCCTGCTTTGCTTATTTAGAAAATTTGAGTGTCAACAACAAATCATAAAGTATAGTAGATTTAAATAATGGAGAAATTATATGTGATGTGATTTGAGTTTTACAACAATTTTTATTACACTTCCCTTTATTAAAAGTACAGTTACAGTAACAGTGCATTTTTTCTACATATTAGTCGAATTTTAATTATTTATTAACAATCTGTACTTTGTGAGCAAATAAAACAAGCAACCTTTTATGTTAATCCAGGTTCACATAGCTTTATGTTAAGTTTACAATCAACTGTAGAAGAACGAGTAGTTAATTATAACAACATTTTCTAGATTTAGATAAGAATATCCTAAATTAATAATTAAACTATAATAGTAAACCCAGTGACAAAGGTATTTGTTGGAAATAGGGAACATAAATAAAAAGAATTTTGATAAGAAATGTTGCTTCATAAATCAATTTCCTAAACAAAAAAATTATCACATACCTACATAAATGAACACAAAAATAACATACACACAATTAAACAACACACCATTCTGAAATCATTAAATTATAAAGAAATTTTGTACAATATAATTATCAGTACGACTACATCACTTACTGATGTATTTCATAACTGTAACCCACTTCACTGTATTTTGTACAATATAATTATCAGTACGACTACATCACTTACTGATGTATTTCATAACTGTAACCCACTTCACTGTATGATACAGTCTGTATCTTCTAATTTTAGTTTAAAAACCAGTGATGGCATATTTTTTCGGATACTTCGCACACCCGTTAAATAGGTATAAGGAATCCGAATAACAATAATAACAAATTTCTTTTAATATTATAAACACTCTGGACAGTTGTTACGAACACGTTACGAATTAGAATAAAGTAAGCACAAACATAAGTTGCAGACGCTGAAGTCAGTTGAACTTGTTGATGCGTATTGTCAGTGGGAAATGTTTTGATTGAAATCACGTGTTCTTTTTTAACGAAATAATTTGTTAAACATTAACAAAATAATCTGTACAAAACTTTCGGTAAAATATGTAATGTGTACACATTATTCACCGTAAATTGACTATACCATAACCGCAAAAAGAATGTCGATTGTTGATCGACCGTAAATTGACTAGGGTTTTAATTTAATTTAATTTTTATATTTAAACCCGGCGAATTCGCCATTTTTGCAAACAAGTTAATGTAATTTTACCATAAGTTATAGCATTTATAATTATAACTTTTGCGACAAAAAAAATTGCGACCAAATCTTGGCTTTTGTCGTAAAACACTTTCTTAAATAAAAAAGAAGAAATAGTGCACCAACCATCAAAAATTGTCCCAAAACCAAAATATTCAAACTGTATAAAAAATTTCCAAACTGACCCAAATTGTATTGAAAATGTTTAAAATAACCCAAACTAAAATTGTATATTACGTATCAAGTTATCATTTTAGCCACGAGCGAAGCTTGTGAGCAAGTGTTTAATAAAATGAGTGTTTGAAGCTGTATATATCCCCTTTAGGGTTATTTTATGTTCATGAAACAAAAAACAGGTTAATGTGTTATTTACGAGAACCAAAGGCATTAAAATACATAAATAATTATATTTTATTTTATGACAATTACTAACGAGTTGAACTTTACATAATACAAACAACCAATCTTATATGTAATCACCCAGTAATTACGAGAAACAGTATTTTACTTAAAAATAATTAAATTAGAATTTAAGAAGAAATAATAGTTTTTTTTTAATTAAATAATCAGTATTGCCACCTCTAGTATCAAAGCAAGCATGCTTTCTATTAAGTTATGAATTTCTTCTTGGGAAACATTTCCTTACCCCTCTAAAACTGCATTTATTATTTTCTCTGCATTGCCAGGGCTATTTTGACGAGCTATAATACTTCTTTTAACCTTTTTCCACATGTTTCCAATTCGATTAGGATCCGGTAAATAAGAAGGCCAGTCTAAAACAGTCACACCTGCCATTTCCAAACAATTTTTGGCAACTCTGCTGGTAAATGGAGGTGCATTATCCTGTATAAATCAGGAGCCTTACTACGGGTTGTAGAACTAAATCCACATACCTTGGACCTCTTAGGGATTGTCTACTGGGAATCAAAGGAATGTTTTCACCAATAATAAAGCCACCCCAAACATTACACTTCCTTATTTGCCTTGAGGGATCAATCGTCCAGCTAAGAGTCTGGCTTGTCTCCCACGACCTCTTAAAATACGAATTCGCTTTATCCGAAATTTCTCTAATCTAAATTGTCCAGTTTTAATACTTCAAATATCAATTTAATATTTTGCACTAATATTTTTGGAACCCTTTACTGCGTTCTGCGATTTTTTTTTATTTATTCCACCGCTGATAAGCAGAGTTGTCAAAAACTGTTGAGGTATGGAAAGTGTGACGGTTATATAATGGCCTTCTTGTTCACCGGATCTTAATCCAATTGAGAACTTACGGTATAAAAGCACGTTAAAACAACCCGGCGACGCAGAGCAACTAGTAGAAGTATTTTTAGAGGGGTGGGAAAAGTTCAACAAAAATAAATAATTATATATTAACAATTATAATTTATTGTAAAGTTTATGTTTAGAGAAATTTACATCTGTTCTCTAGAAAATTTGTTTTTATAAATTTTTCCTTTTTTTTGTAATAAAATTGGTTCAGATAAAGAGCTTTTTATTTCCAAATCATTTTTCTTTGAGTGGAATTATATTTTTCGTAATTACTGGGTTATTCCATATCAGTTTGGTTGTGTGTATGCCACTAAAAATTTTAATTTAATGTCGAATCACTACTAAAATTATAATTTGTGCTGCCATGTCGAAAAGGAGGTAGCAATAAACCTAACCTAACTCGTAATTAATTTGTTTAAACTACTTGTGTTGTGTATAGTTATAAAGGACTTAATTAGTATATTTGATTATTTTAGGGGCACATATAAGAAATCGGTCCCTTGACCCTGAAAGACGACGCCAATCCTTGGGGACGATCCTGCCGCACAGAGCTTCCGACGCCTTCCTTGATCCCCATCATGCCGCTATCTTGTTTAGAGACTCCAGGGGGGTGAGTACGCGAAAAAAACAAACATTTTAATTGGAAAAACCTACGCACTTTTGTTTACCCGAGCGCGATTAATTAAACTTGATTAATCAAATCAACTTGCCTAAAAAAATTTGTAAAAGTGGATTTTCAAAGAACAATTTGAATTTTTATTTTATTGGGTCCGGAACGTTAATTGACAAACTTTGTCGAATTCGATTTGCTCGCTGGCAATTATTATAATCAACAAGTTTAACGAGGTTGCTTCCTTTAATCCGAATCGTTGTTTTTTAACATTAATTTTGGAATACCCTCCATGAATGAAAGGGACAGTGCTTGCGTAAAAATTGACCTAGTTTTTAATGCTTGGTTTATTTGGGGTGAACATTTCTCTAACCAAGGGATGTCAATTTCATAAGTATTGGCAACAGTGCATGTGTTTACTGCAAAGTTAATTTTACGTTTTTGTATTATCGCGCGCTATTTTTGGCTGATTATATGTATGTCTTCAATAAATATTAATTTAGTGACAGGTGCTGCTTCCTATGTATTTAAGTTCGAACTAAACACATATGCTGTAGATTACATCTATGTTAAGTTTAAGAATGTGTCATTTTAAATTGTTATTGGTATTTTTTAAATTTTGTTCGTCATATGCCGTTAATGCAAGTGTGCACCCATGCAGATTTGGCCGTGACTATAATATATAAAAAAATTGGTGACGTCACAAACTTATCGATATAAATATGTTTTCTTGGTAATCATTTTCTTTTTACAAACTATGCCATGTTGTCATAAATTGGATTTTTTAAAATATTTTGTGGAAATAAAACCATAGAAAGAATGAAACATTGTAAGTTTTATGTTTCTTTACGTGACATTTGTCAAATTAAAATGCTTCTTTAGAAATTGCGGTTGAGCTAAATGTCCTTATAAATTATTCACAGCGTATAACAATGGTGTCGAATCCTTTCTATCCTTGACATTGACATTGTTTAAAGTAATGAATTCTTTATTAGACATTTTGTGTATTTGCTCTAAATCTTTTATGTAAACTGTTATACAAACACATTGAGATTCATTTTTATTTATATTAAATTTTCAAAGTCAAAAGTTCACGTTTGATGTAATGAGGATTAGACAACTGGACATTTATTATTTAAATACTGAAATTATTTATTGTTCGAAAAGTGAAGCGCAAAATAATTTACTAAATGCATTTTACATCTAAAAATAGATCTGCTTCCGTGAGGAAGGTCAGGACTTCCAATAATTACATTCGTGCAAAATCGATTATGTGTTTTAGGTCCGGGTCAACTACCAATATAGCTGCTATCTATAAATGTGTTCTGCAATATATAGCCATGTTTACCTATCGAAGTTTGTGCGTAAAAGATGTCCAAACATCCCAATTAGTACAACTGGTTAAATTAACGTTAAATTTACGTTAATTTAAGTAATATTGTACTATAGTCGTCGCAGCGAATGTTTCAAACTGCGTCATCAATGTCGAATGTCAAAAACCGATTTCTCAACATACGGTTAACCTAGCGGTTCCTTGGATTATATACGTAAACGTTATTTTTTGTAGTGTAACACATTTAACTCAGTTCGTGTGACTTCATACACTGGATTCAAAATTACTACACTAATCGTGTTCGGTAGCTCTCTAAAAGTGTTCACTTTGACACTAATTTATTTGCATTTATTTCACTTTTAGTGTGAATGCTATTCCTGCTGGAAATTTAATATATCTAGTATTTATCCTAACAATAATATATTTAAAAATGGTACACCAATATTGTGTAAGATTGGTGTCTGCAGTGCGCCCTTAAAGTTACTTACATTAAATTCATTTAATGTCGAAAAAATTGTATAATATATAATATAATATCTGTACATTAAATACCAAGCAGATAAATCACTTATTATCGTTGAGCATACATTTTACTGCCGATGCGACAGCTGAGGCAGTAGATTGTGTGCGAGGCAATTATTAAGCTTTCGCTGCCGTGTTTTATATACTATATTTTTAAGCATTGCATTTTTTAATTTTATAAATTCTGTCACATCATTTTTAGGTTAGGTTTAACTGACGATGACATTTTAGCTTTATATGGTAGGAAGTTTAATAATAATTTGACTTTTAAACCAGTATTAATAATAATAATATATTTATTCATCCAGTACATCAGATCACGATATAGGACAAGTCAACAACAAAAAATTATATTATATTACCTAGACCATTAGGAAAATACAACATACAATGAAACTTAACTAAATACAGAAAGTACAATATTTTATAATCAGTTAAATATGACACTGAAAATAATCATAATAAAATGCATTATCAATAAGAATTTAAAAATTTGACATAAATAATTTAAAGTTGGTAAGTCTCTAATCGATAATGGAAGTTTATTATATAATACAGATCCAATATAAAAAGGATTAGATTTATACAGCTCCATTCTGTGCAAAGGAAATTGTAATTCTTTACCTCTGCGTGTACCATAATTGTGGTGTACGTTTTGAAACTTAAACTTATTTAAATTTAATTTAACAAACTTAAGCTTTTCAGAAATATACAATGATGGAAACGTTAGTATGTTTTGCCTAATAAACATATTATTGCACGAGTCTCTCATTTTCAAACCAAACATCATCGTAGCGCCCGTTTTTGAATAAAAACCCTGTCTGATGTTATAGAGTTTCCCCACAATATGATAGCATAACTCATTATGGATTCTAAATTAGATTTATAGAACATTTTTAGCACTTTTGCATTAGAAATATTTTGTAACCCTTTAAGAGTATATTCAAGTCTTTTTATATAAACTTTGAAGTGTTATACCTAATATAAAAATTATTGTACGATTAAAAAAAATATATATATAATGGAGGTTTACAATGATTCTGCTCTTATTAATTTTTTGTATATTCATTTATTTTTAATTATATGAATTACTTTTGAGAAGCGCTGCTGGAGTGTTTAAATAATGTAAGTTTTTCGCTACAAAATATAAAACTAATCTTTGGCAATTACTTAAAATATAAATACGTTCAAAACACCAAATAATATTTTGGCACAAAGTACCAATTGACACTGTTAGATTGGTGTAATTTGTATGGCTCTTTGAAAAGCAAGCTTAAAATCTCGTAGTTTTATACAGGTAACCAATTCTTACCCATTTTGTGACTAAAATTTCTATCGAATTGGGAAATTCTTCTATATAATTATATACCAAATTTTTGCAGTGATAATCTCAAAATAAAACTTTGAAGGTCTTCTTTGCAATTCAGTGCTAAAGTTGTCATCATAAACTGACATCTGCTGGTATCGCACTGCTAAGGTTTTATTAAACTTGGCATCATGGACATGTTTTACTCAGAAAAAAAACACTAAAAAAACGATTTACTTATTATATACATTAAACTGAGCTATTGTAAGAACTGTACCTACGCGATTTTCGAACCAAATCAAAATGCAATTTTGGACATTATAATCCTTGATGAGTAATACTTTGAAATTGACTTACCTTTAGTTAATAATTATAAACCAAAAATAAACAGCTTGGTGCATTCTTCCAACACAAATTCTGAGAAAACAATGAACGAAACAATTTTGCGTTTTTGTCAACTGAACACCCCTTCCCTATTCAAATTCTTAAGGGCTCCTGGGAGCAAGTGGTAGGGGTGAGAAACCAAAATTTGACATGAAAAGTTGTCCCCCTCGATATAAAACTACATGTCTCGGCGTTTTTTCAAAAAATTTTCAGGTTCCGAGAAATTAAGGGGGTTTGTTTTAAATGGAACGCACTTAGACGAAAAAATATATTTTAGGATTGAAAATAGTGTGATGTTTTACACTAACTTTTTCACTCTACAACTTTCACCTGGGAGAACACTAAAATATTTTTTTACTGTGTAACTTTGTCTACCTTCGACGACTTTCTCATGTAAGTTAGGGCACCACCTAAACTACAACTTGTCTAGACTTTTGTATGGTAATAGGTACGCGCAATTAAAAATTCAAAAGAAGAATTTTGAGCTCTGGATTATTTATTTTTAATATGTCCACATGAAATGTCTTTACTAAGAATTAAAAAAAAATTTTTTGAACAAAAATTTCTTTCTATAAATTATTTTTTAGGCGCCAAATTTCAACCTGTTTATTGATTGATTAACGCAACATTTTTTTTACTTCTACCGACACCCAGTTCGCGCATTCAGAGAAACAGAGACGCAACGTCCTCTCCGTAGCTTGCTCGTGTGTTTATCAATTTGTTGCCGACGCAGGCGTGCCTTCGCTCGGTAATAAACAAGTACCAAACGATGCGTCGTCCGGGTTAAAATCTATTGGTGTCTTTTTTCGAAATCCAGTAATCGGCACAATCGTTTTTTTTTTTGACGAAGACGATGGCATCGAGGACATTTCAAACGTCGCTTTTTTAGTTCGCTCTTAAACGCGTCACGTTATGGGGACGTCGCGACGCGTCGGTCGTTGGTTTGTGCAACAAGTGCGAATAAGTCCGTAGTTTAAGTAGTTTGTTTTATTTTATTGCAAAGAAAGTGCGGTGTATTTTCTTTCGTTAATGAACAAACGTTAATTTGAAAATATTGTTGAAACTGAAACTTATTATTATTATCTTTTTATAAAACAATAATTGTTATAATTATTATTTTAAATTTTAGGTACTGGGAGTTAAAAGTTTAATTTTTTTATTTAATAATATGTATTATAAGGTATAATAATATGTTTTACATATTTAGATATCAAACATTTTAAAAGTGTTATTGTTTATTAAATCAATTATATTTTACTAAATTAAAATGCTCATTTTAAAAAGGGAAAGTAAATGGTAACTTTATCAAATTTGTTTTTTACAGCGTTTTATAACAGTGACATTTTGTTACTTTGATTGTTACTCTGTTTGCTAACCGACACAATTTAGGGCACTAGTGCATAAAGTTTTTGAAATTAAAAAGTACAAAATTTAAATTTATTTATGGTCAATTAATAAATAATGTTCACGTCGCGTTCTTAAAAGACTTTTCTTTACAACTTATTCCATATAATAATAGCTATTTTATATACCCCACTAAACAACAAATTTTTAGTTTAATAGTTATTAGAGATGGGATTTTTCATTGTAAAAATTGGTCGTAAAATTATTTAATATTATTGTAAAAAATTGTTGATTTTATGATTTAAAAAATTATTAAAAAAAGATTTTAATATAATAGTACAAAGTAGTCAAGAGTAACCATCCTCTTTTATAATAAATTTTAATTCAGACTGTAATTAATTTGCACTCTATTTAATATTGATTTTGCATATTGTATACCTTAGTGTTAGCAACTCAAAACCCATTTTAGCAGAAGTTAACGTTCATCCTTGTTTAAATTAGGTCAAATTTCCCCTTTTTGACACTATATTCAAATACAGGAATTTATATCTCATACAAGTAACGGGATATTCCGTTTCGCTTACAGGGTGTATGGGTATACATAGTTACGTAGTAAAAAAATATGCAATTCCTGGGAATGTTGAAAAAAAGTAACGTTTACTTGTAAACATATTTATCTACTTATTCATCCAATTTGTGATTTTTTTGGACTTCTAGATTTTCAGGTACCACCACCATTTTTTGTTTTTCCCATGACTGCCATATTGGTATTTTACATGGTTAGAAAAATAAATGAACCCACCAACGTATCAAAGTACTTGGCGGCAATTAAAACAAAAGATAGTAATGTAACTCAAAACTTGGTAGCAAAGAAATTGTACAAAAATGTAGCCTATGTGTATGTTTACATGTAAAATTTACTTCGTTTCAAAATTCCCAGGAATAACAAATTTTTAACGTATTTTGGTTTTGACAAGTTTTTACTTATTTTTAAATATTTTGAGAACTCCGGTTAGAAGGATACTTGGTGCACCCTGTATAAACTCGTTTGAAACTGAACAAATTTTAAAATGTAACATCTTTGATAAATTATGCTTTAAACAAATTTGGTTTATGGGATAGCCTTGAGAAAATATGGCTGTTATTACCTCAGCAAATTTACTGAAAGAATAGATGTTTATAAACAGTATACTGTAATTGTCAATTGATAGTAAAATATTTAAACAATATGGATGAGTATTGTGTAAATTAAACCTGGCAAAATGTATGCTAATATTCTTTTTCGGAAAATGGTAATTCATTTAACTTAAAAAAAGGGTACTACTCATTTAGATGTCGTAGAATAAAAAAACTGAAGACAATATTTAAAAAAAATATTTTTCGGAAAAATGTTTGATTTATTTCATAATTCATATAATTCTTTAATATATTATCTATTATAATTAATACTACTCAAAATTTAAATTCTTTACATCATTGTTCTTGGTATATTATTTAATGTTTAAACTAAAAAATTTATTAATTATTCCAATGACTATAACTAAAAAATCGACGTTCTTGTCTTTGGTTTTTTACTTAGTTAAATTTCCATCAATACGCTTCTGTTTCCTCAAACTTAACAAGTACGCAAAATTCTAATCTGCAAAATCAAATATCGTTTTATTGCCTTACATTAACGACCGTGTTTTTCTCATTATCGACCTTGTTTGTTTTCAATTTTTAAAACCAAAGCGCCCACTCTACCACTCATAAATATTTTTTCATTTATTTGTTTTGCATAAAAATTTGAATCTAAACAGATCTTGTTTATGTTTTATTAGATTTATGCATCGATATGATCTCATTGATGTTTCTAAGAATTTGTTTTAATTTTTTTTCGAAGCAATTATAATGTTAATATTTTGAACGCAAGTTAAATTTACATGGGGTTCTACATAATTTGTTTTCTACAGACAATCAATCAAAAACAGCTTATTTTTCTCGATCATTGTACAACATACATAAATATTTTGCTGCTATATTTAGAACAACTCCAATTATAATAATTGTTTGTTCAAATATTTTCAGATTACTTGAAAAAAAAAAGGAACGATGATTCGAAATAAAAAAATGTTTGTCCTATCGTTTGGCAACGCCTTTATGATTTTGTAATTTCACAAAGTTTATAAGGTTAATTGACCTAATCGCAATGGTTCAGTGTTAAACGATGCACAGTGGGCTGAGTTGACAAAAACCTGGCCAAAACAAAAAAAAATTTTAAATGTCTGTTCGTTCGTTTAAAAAAAAATTGAAGATGTCAGTGAAGTTACGTACTTTATTTTAATATACAAAAATACGTTTTTATTGTTTTGTAGACTAGTAAAAAAAGTTGATTCATAGAGCTCGTATACTTTGTAATCACGTAGAAAACTTGCACTTACTTTTCGAAATAATAATAAAAGTTTTTAATAATGATTAACGGAAGACAATTTTAAGTTTGTTGTTTAAGAAACAATGTTTTGTAGTACTATTTAATAATTTTTTTGCAGTAAGATTATTTATGCCATAACGAAATGCTTTATAAAAAACCCCACTCCCACCACCTGAAATAGATAATAATAATAATAATTATAATACGTGCTGAAAAATGTTTAATATTCAAGAATGGTAAACATCTTCCTAATTAAAAAAAAAACTAAAATTGCTAATTTAAATGGACAAATTTTAGCATAGTGTTCTGATATAATGTTTCGTCGACTGCATTCTGTAGACGGTTCTCCCATTGAAAGAAAATCCCATTCAGGGGCCTCACCTCCAAATACGCCGCCCCTTAACACAGGCATATGGAATTGGTATTCGAGACTGGCTACCAACGTCAAGAAAAAACAGTTACTGTCACCAAAGGCATTAATCAAACGAGCCTTGGTACGTTGAAAATCACTTAACGTATAGGTATATAAAATATATATATTTTACGTAAATCAATCCTTTTCGTTTTTCTAAAATGTTTGGTACACAAAGGAGTGTGTGTCTACAATAGTAAACAAATCAATAGTATAGCATATTGATTTTCTCAGGTTATAATAATAATGCTTTTGGCGAGAGTTTACTTTTTAAATATAAAATATACTGTAAGTTATTATACTTAATAATCTGTAAAAATGAGGGTAATTTTTTTACTATATTGGCCCGTTTATCCAAACTTTTTATTCGTACCTTTAATCTAGAGGTAAAATATACATATTTGTTTTTTATGTGATTCTTCGATAATAGGTTGAATCACCAACATCTAAAATTTAATACATAATACTACATACATACATATTATAATGAAATAATTATTACGTACACATACATTTGGTGGTTAATTCTATCAAATTTCACTAATTTAGCAGCTCTTTCATAATTCCAAACCAAATATTAACTAACACAAGAAACAATCTTCCAAAATGTCGGACACTTTCGTGAGTGGAGGATATTTTTAAGAATAGGCCAGTCGTACCAATTTTGACTAATCTTAGAATAAATATAATTATATTTATATCCAGTATAGTATTATAATACTATCTTTAAGAACAGATATAATCGATTGTTAATCTTAAATTAAGAATAGGATTATTTCATTTAAAGTCTTTATTAACACTTAACAGGCAAGAATAAGATCTGCTTGTTTAAAGAAATATTAATATTTAGTTTAATGTTAGTTTTAGATATAATCGATTGTTAATCTTAAATTAAGAATAGGATTATTTCATTTAATGTCTTTATTAACACTTAACAGGCAAGAATAAGATCTGCTTGTTTAAAGAAATATTAATATTTAGTTTAATGTTAGTTTTAGCCTTGACAATATTAGGTCAATTATCTTGTTTCAGCTGTACTTGATTTTAAGCTAAAAAAATCTTTTTAATTTAAGGATAGGTTAATATTTAAAAGAAATTTAATGCATTCGTAGCCGAAGCAAGTGAATTTTTTTAAGAATAAAGGTAGATATTCTTACATTGAGAAAACATCTTTTTTCGTGTAATAGATATAATGAATTCCTATCTTGAGTTAATTCTATTCACTTATTAAAACCTTTTATTTGGTGAAACTCTATTATTTTTTGTTTGTTTTTGTTTCAGCTTCCTATGGTCGATCCTTTCTTGGAAAAAGTTAATATTTCTGACTTGGGTAAGTTAAAATATCAACATTATTTTTATGTTTTAAAGATTTGCAACACAATGTGTTTTTCCTCTATTATTTTTGCTTTAGTGCCAATTTTTTATAGTAAAAAAATTATTATAAGTTAAGTAGAAATTTTGGGCCGCCACTGGTTGTTTCTGACGTATGACAACTGACGCAAAATATGCTTGCATAGTGGGCAATAATCTACATTTATTAAAAATTTACATTTGTGTTATCATTGATTACTTTGTTGATAATTGTTTTTTGTTTTGCATACTCAGCTATTTTAAGGTACAGTGGCGGACACAGAATTTTGAACGGCTTTCGTCCAGTTAATATTAAAATCTTAACTTCCTTTATGGCCAACTAACCTTACTTCCGGTTTTCACTAGTCCTTGTCGTTTTGACAGCGAAAGCAAAAATGGACAATATTGTTTCTTTGCACAGACCTACAAACAAAATGTTGGTCTGTGTTTATTTGCTATTTACAGATTTATACATGGACAACCAAATTATAACGTTCAAAATTCTGTGTCCGCCACTGTACCCACTGAATAAAACAATACCTACTTTTTATTGTTGGGTATCTCGAGGTTTCCGTCGATTTTAAATTTCACCTTTCACTTTTTACGTCGATTAATGCTCATGTAGCTATTTATTTAAGTGTTCCACAAAATCATAATAAATGTTCAACTATCCCGCCGTTATTATCCACACAAAGTTGACAGCGGCGTAGAAAATTACGATGTGTCGCTCTTGCTATCGTATCCGGATGATTTCGGATTTCATCTGCCTCCGCAGTGACAAGTTCGCGGAGTTTTTTTAATGTGTCAACTTCGCTTTGATACACTAAACTGTTCATGTAGCCCCAGATAAACTACAATAATATCCGAACTGTCAGTAATCAATGATAACCAAAGTACATACTGACCGATTTTGAATAAGTTTAAAAGTTTGCTTGATATAACATAATACACATTTTATTAAACCGAACAAAAATAAAAGGAATTGGTCCGCATTATTTTGCTTCTTTAAGCTCTACATTAGGTTAATCGAGCTAACTTGCCACTCCGCCAATTTTTATTGCTTTAATCTGTTATCGGTTTTTATCAGAACACACAACTTCGCTATTTAATGTTGACAACAAATTATCTTTGCCGTGTTTTGTTTAACAAAGCATTTAGTTGGATTAAATCATTTTCTTTTTATTTGCCCATAAATATACTGTGCACTTTTGAATGCTAAAATTGACGCAACAATAAATAAGAGGAATTATTGTAAAGTTAACAGCTAAATCTGCGTGTATGTCGACATGTACAGCAGATACGTGTTAAAGTATTGGTACCGTAAGTATCTCAATTATATTATATTTATTATTCGACAAAGTATTATTTAACTTAACATTCCAATGGTAGCAAATAATTTACTTAATTTGCAAGAGATGTATTGCTGAATCTATAAATACCCTTAAAACCAACCTGTTGGTTGTAGAAAATACATTTTCAAAGTCGAAATCAATTTCTAAAAATACTAATTTGCATAATTTAACATTTTATACTTCAATTTGCAATATCCTTCTCATGAAAATCTATCGAGAGTATCAAATTTAATTTGACACATTGCATTATAACAAAATTTATTTGTAGAAATTTAACATGCTTACAAATTAGTTTGCTATAAATAACAAACATTTATATTCCAGTTAGTTACTTAATTGTCTTTTAAAATGTTCAAATTTTAATGTTTTCAGAACTTTATTTAAACCGATTTCTACATGTACATTGTATAATCGAAGATTAAATATACTCTTTAATATTTAATCTTTGGTATAATCTATAAAACTTGACGCTTGCCCCCCCCTTTGCTTCGACAAACTCTACTTTTCGTCACCATAATCTTCTAATTTTGCACAATTTTGCACACCTCATTTCAAATTTTGCACACCCCTACTTCATTCCTCACGGTGTCCCAAAAATTTCTTCCTAGCCCCCCCCACTGAAGAAATTCACTTTTTTTTTTGCTATCCTTATCCTCTAATTTTGCACAATTTTGCACACCTCATTTCAAATTTTGCACACCCCTTCATCCACCCCCGCGGCATCCCAAAAAGATATGCATTAGCCCTCCCCACCGGCAAAAATCCTCATTGTTTTTGTGCTATCCTAATCCTCCAATTTTGCACAATTTTGCACACCTCATTTTAAATTTTGCACACCCCTCCATTTATCCTCACGGCAAAAACGGCAAAATTTACTTACAATCCCCCCCAATAACAAAATCCAATTTGTTTTTATGCTATCCTGATTCTCCAATTTTGTACAATTTTGCACACCTCATTTCAAATTTTACACCTTTTTCAAATCTAGCCTAACCCCCACATTAACGTCCTCGCTCACTGTGTTTCCGAAAATTTTATCCAGCTTTCTCCTTGCCACTGCCAAAATTCTATTAGGTATACCTTGTTATCTAAATTTGCACAAATTTGGAAACCATAATTAAAAGAAGGAAAAGTATTCAAAGGCCAAGCTTTTATTTTTTTATCAAAATACTAGTACAATACAGAGAAATACAAAGAAAAAAAAATATGAAAACAAAACAAGTACCTATTCAACTTCTAATATTGGGACGTATAAAACAAAATTTGGTAATTCACCATTCGCTTACCAGAACAGGACTCGCTTTTAGTTTTGGTGTCGTTATAAATCTCCCAACGAATATTATGTCGCAAACTGTAAGCTGTAAAATGACCAACTCCTACGTTAGGTCCAATATAACCAACCAATCCTCGCAATACGTACGTCTCGTTGCACACTGTCAATTTCTTTGGTAAATCGTCTAACGTACTTTCCAAAGTAAAAACTTTTTTATTGGGATCTAAAGGTTCGATCATAAGGTGTGTTAAACTAATTTTAGTTTTTTAAAATTGTGCAAAATTAGAGGATCAGGATAGCATAAAAACAAAGTGGATTTTGTCAGTGGGGGAGGCTGGTAAGTAAATTTTTGGGATGCCGTGGGGGTGGATGAAGGGGTGTGCAAAATTTGAAATGAGGTGTGCAAAATTGTGCAAAATTAGAGGATCAGGATAGCATAAAAACAAAGCGGATTTTGTCAGTGGGGGGGGCTAGTAAATAAATTTTTGGGATGCCGTGGGGGTGGATGGAGGGGTGTGCAAAATTTGAAATGAGGTGTGCAAAATTGTGCAAAATTAGGAGATTATGATGACGAAAAGTAGAGTTTGTCGGAGCAAAGGGGGGGGGGCAAGCGTCAAGTTTGCCCCCCCCCACATGATTTTTCTTGCCATTTCCAAAGCAGGTGTGTGCAAAATTTAAGAAGGGGTGTGCAAAATTGTGCAAAATGTGTGCAAAATTATGATGTATAATAGAGGGGGTTTGCACGATTGGGGGGGCCAACTTGACTGACCCATTAAAAAAGCTGGAGATTTGTTCACTCCAAGTCAGTTGGTACCAGTATTTCGGTTGTCAATTGACCGGTCAAAATATATTTAATTTTTGCCACATTTTATTTAGGTATCAACAATTACCCGTGAATCTCAAAATTTTTGCGATCGTGCAATATCGACATCATTTACAATTTGGTGGTTCCCCGAGTCGAGGGGTTGCTAGGCCGGACTCGGCGCTTTGCCCTTAAAGCGGAACATATCTTTTTTAATACCGAAACATAACTTTTTAAAGCCGCACAAACGTTTCTAAAGATGGACATAACTTTTATAATAAAAAAAATTTGGTAACGTATTTTAATTACCTATTTATTAAGTACAAATAAATCACAGTAATATTTATTTTGATATTTTATTTAATTTTATTTTGGTCAATTGACCAAAAACAATTTGACCGGTCAATTCCACAACTCTAATTATGTCATAAGACCGACGATATACAGTGTGACCCATATATATTTCTATGCTTAGTTTTGAAAAATAAAAAACGCAATAAGATCTTTAAACAACAATGAAACAAAAAATAGGGAATTCAAAAAATTCTCTACAATTAGATTTTCGTCATCTCTACTGCAAAAGAACTACAGGCTAGGGTAATATAAGTCTGCGCACCATTATTCCAGAACAAATGAAAGTAAATGGTGGATTAGTAGAGGTCACGAAAATCTAATTGAATCGGTAAGATCAAGAACAAGTCCAAAATTTAAATTGTTTACAAGTTATTTTATAAAATCAATTTTTTTTAGTTTAAAATGCATTTTTTTGAGATAAACTACTTATTTTATAAAATATAATAAACAATAGTTGAACCATTCTCACAAAAATGCATTTTAAACTATAAAAATAATTTGTCAAAATTTTAAATTTTGGACTTGTACTGTTGTTGAGTTTACGGATTCAATTGTAGAGAACTTTTGGAAATCTTTATTTTTTGTTTCATTGTTGTTTTAAGTTTCTATTGCGTTTTTTAATTTTTTATTTATACTATTTTATCTCATTCCAGTAGTTCCTTAACTAAAGTGGACTAAAGCCTATTGTTTATATCGACGAAATTACTTCAAAAAGCCCAAAATATCTATCGACTTTTATCGTTTATTTTTCTTGTATACCATAAAAAGTTATTTCGTTTTTATTATCTTCTGAAAAAATTGTGGATGATTGCAGATACATTTTTTGCAGCAGTGTATTGAGTTATTTTATGACTTCCTTTAGATTTTTTATTTGACTACAATGTTGCTAATTGCATTGAAATAAATTAAAACTGATCTTTGATGTTGGCCATCAAATATAACTTCAAGCAGAATAAATATGTCGATTATGCTTATATTTAATGAATAATGCGATGTTTTGAAGCCATGGCAAGTATCGCTCCAATATGCATTAGTTTTATTTATTATTTTTACAATAAATTTTTTTAAAAATAAACATTATGTTATTTTAATTATTTTTATAATTAGATAAGTAAATTCAGAATTTATTTTATTAATTATTTAAAATATTGGCAACTTACCCTTTTGATTTTGATGGCGCCTGCATATCAACTATGTTAAAAATAGACTTAAGAATTAATTATTTGTGAAATCTTAATTTTTTTAAGCGTTTAGGAATGGTGTATGGCAAATCGCCAACTACTGTCCAGCCATGCTCGACAATTTAATTATGTTCACTTTTAAGTTGCACAACTATTATAATTTTGTAATGGTATTTTTCTCGGTAAGAAAGCAGTTTATTTTTTATAATATGCAAAACCCCTTGTCACAGGTTGTTAAATTCGTCGGACGATTTCAGTCATGACGTCGATTTGATTGTTGTCTAGGATGCTGTTAGGAATATCCAACCACTTACCACAATTAATTTGACAGTATATCCGTAAATCCATCTACTCCATCTATCTATTGGTGTATTGTCAGATCAATTGTGCATCGAGAAGCAAATAAGTTATGTAGCTTAATTTCAAATAATTGTTTAGGTGTTTATTTTAGATTATATTATGTCCCAAAGCTGTTTTTAATTGGGTACAAGTGATACCAATTTTTTTATAGTTGCCATACATAAATGTTGTATCACCTAAATTATAAAACTTAAATTTCTTAATTTGGTTACGGAAATGTTTATATCACCCTTTTATACCTTAATGAGCTTATTAAAGGAGTTTATGAAGGTTATCGTTACCTGTGTTTAGTAACACTATAGTGTTAAGGTAGCTAACATTGTGGACTTTGGCAATGAGTAACTTAAGTTTTATAATAACATAAAAATTTATTTTATAACTTCTGGCTCGTGCGTTACTCATTGCCAAAGTCCACAATGTTAGCTACCTTAAAGGAACAAAAAGTGGGCAGGTAAATCATTTATAGTTTCCCGATACACTATTTGTGTTGACGCCAAGCGTCGTCCGCTTGTCGATTAAATTTTTGGCAGTAGGTGCGAGCCGCTGCCAATAATAAACATCGCCGATTGGCAGTCTCGTTCGCGTGTTGCGGCACTCTGCACATATCTGTTTTTTTTTCAATCGTCGAAAAAGAAAAATCCGCGTTTTTTCGAGATGTTTACATTTTTTTGGCAACGCGCGGCAACACCGCGTCACCGCTATTTTCGCTACGTTTGCTAATTATGTGGCGGCGATTTTTCTAGGTTAAGTTTTGTATTGTTTGTGGATTTTTGTGTGCCAAAACGGAAGACTCCCGAGTTGTTCTATTTTTATGATTAAATAACCGTCATACGCTAAAATAAAGACTTTTTTTAAAGAAATTTTACTGCATTTTGTTTTTCGATTTTGACTAGTGACTTTTTTGTTAAAAGTTCGTGCTGGTGCGACTTTTGCCATGTGTTGTTCGGCTTACCGGTTTGGGCATGTTACGACTAAATATTTATTCGAATCATGTGCACGTTGTGTTACCGACAATAGCAGAGGAACAGGAGGTGTACAGTCTCGATCAAATCAAAGAGTTCGAGGACGTTTCGCAGGACTACAAGGACTGGCTCGTTGAGATTCTTGAAAAAGGTGCCAACATCTTGAAAAAAAATTGCAAGATACAATACAGTGTATAATATAAGTAAAAAACTGTTTTAGCATCAAAATTAAATAAAAAAAAAGTAAAAAATTTGAGTATAAATTATAAAACGCTCTAGCGACGCAAAAGTGTAATTTTTAAAACTTCTGTAGCAATAAAAATATTGCAAGGTACAGCATTGAGTTTAAAACTTTCAAAAGTTATTCGAGAAAAATTAAATGGAAAATTTTATTGACTTTTTATTCTGGAAATTTTATTCGTTTAACAACGATTTATACAATGGCGCCCAAAGCCAACGTAAATAATTATTAGGTAGTTACTAAGGTTTTAAAGTGTAGAAAAAAAACGGAAAAATTGGGGGAAAACCCTGTTTTTTTTTTAATTTTTTCCAGGCATTGAAAAAATTGTCTTTTTTGGGAAAAATTGAATTTATGATTTTTTTGTTCAGTTTCAATATTAATTTAAAAATCTGAAATTTTTGGAGTACCTTCAAAGGGTTAAAAAGTAAGAAAAATACTCGTTCACACTTTTTTAGGATTTGTTCTAATTTTTTTTAACAGTGGTCGAAGCTCAGGTTAAGAATTAATTTAAAAATCTGAAACTTTGGTCGTACCTTTAGAGAAGTAAAAAAGTATAAAAACCTCGTTTGATAAAAAAAATTGTTCTAATTTTACTTTTTTAAGTAAACAAGTAGTCAGGGCTAAAGAGTTTAAAGTGTCGAAAAAAAACGTAAAAATTGACTTACATTTTTTCGTATTACCCTTTGGATAAAATGAAAAAAACCGTTTTTTTTCCACCGGTTAAATTTTTCTGGAAATTTTAAAACTTTAGTAGTTACATTGTTACAATTCGTCAAAACAGCTCAACATTTTTTTTCAATCTTTTTGCCAAAATGGTAAACAGGGCAACCGATATTTGTGCCAATTTTTATCGTCCAAATAAGTTTTTGTTACTTTATCTGGCAGATAATGGATACAATAATCTCGGTAGAAATATCTGTCAGATACACTAAACTTAACTTAATATTAAAAGACAGACCCTTAGACAAGACGAAATGTAGGTATATTGATAAAGTATTAAACAAATTGTAAAAAAAATATCATAAAACTCGATCCACTTAAAATAATTATTTAAATCTAAAAAATTTTTTAGAATAATCTAGTTTTTTCCAAATTGTGCAAAAACATTTTATAGGACATTTTTAATATAAATTTAACGTTAATATAAAAGATAAAAATGTGTGTTCAATTTTGTTAAACTTAATTTTAAAAAATGCATTGTAAAATCTTTTATGCGAATTTTGTAGGAAAGTATGAGGAAAAGTTGTAAAATAAAATATTAAAATTTTAAATTAAACGAGAACCTGAAAATATAGTTTTTATTTTATTGGAATATTTTAACATAACATTATAAGTTTTATTTTATATAAATGTTAATGATATTTTTTTAAAAGTTATAAAGTTGTAGAATTTTTTAAAAACATTATTTTTACTCTATTTAAAGTTTTTAAATCAAGCGATTTTAACCTCACTTTTTCACAATCTAACATCTGCAGATGACATGTCAGACGGTTTTAACCTCACTTTTTTTCCTAATTTAATGCACTATAGTGCATTGAGTTAGTGAATGCACTAGTGTAGTGAATGTGGGAGTAGATAAAATTAATTAACTTGGCACAAAAACTAGCAACATTTCTGTATATTTAGCTATTTGCGTTAAAAAATTATCTGAATCTAAAAGTAAAATACTTGATAGAATATATAAAATAAATTTTGCTGTTTAAATGATTCCATTATTATTTTCTGTATGAAAACATGGATACAACGTTTAATATTTAATATAAACAAACATTTATTATTTAATTCGTTTTAGCGATCCAACACAAAAGCTTTTAGTTTAGTTTATTTATTTTTTTCAATAATACAATATTACATTGTGTTGGACAAGTCAAAGTCAAAGAATGAAGGTATACAAAAAAAAAATTAATTAATCATTGAAAAAATCACTAACTGAGTAAAATGTTTGAGACAATAGATATAATTTGAGTTGGTATTTAAAAATTCTAACATTTCCTAAATCTTTAAGATTAGTAGGTAACCTATTAAATATTTTTGACCCTATGAAATCAGGTTCATTTTTGCAAAGGCTAAGCCTGGCATATGGTATACGCAAATCGGAATGTTGCCTAGTATTATGGGTATGATCGTTATTTTTGTAAAAATTACTTTTATTATTAAAAATATAAACGCATAAGCGCTATTTTAGTTTTAAATGCCTCTGGCAAATTTTTAAACCAACACAGCGCGCTGCAGCGTATAGAAGTGGAAAACTAAAAATAATAGTATTAAGCAAAAAATAAATTAATCCTTTCATCTGGAAATACACGCTTATTTGAATTTGAACATGTTTAATACAGTTTTAAAATGTCTAAAGATATCAAAAGGATTTTGATTTTTGAAATGTTAAAAATTTAGAATTTTGCACAAAGGAGTTGCTAATGTTGTTTAGAAGAAAATCAGCAGAATATATTGAATTTTAAGCAAAACTTTGTTTGGGTTTTTAGATTTAACTTTATTTCTATTTAGTTCATTTTTATTCTTCTCATCCTGATTAAAAATAAATAGGGTAATAACACCATTTACAAAGAGCCTCGCTCCCATAACTTTCTTATTATTTACTATATTCACGGAATTGGTTATTTAAAGCCCTATATTAAATCACATAATTAAATTATATATTGCAAAGTACCTATAACTTTGATAAACCACGTTTCACTCTATTATTAAAGTCGTGTAATTTCGTAGATGATAAAGCAAACATCTAATTTGCATTATATTAATAGATTCAACGTTTATTTTTGTCGTATGCTAAAAAATTCATCTTGTTAATGAAATTGTTTACATGAATTTTAATTATTGTTTTTATAATACAGGACTTTTTATTATTAAATAGATCCATTTTGCTTGCTACTTTGGTACAGGTACTAATTTATTTATTTTTTATTTCAGAAGAGGATGAGTCTCAAATATTCGTTAAATTCTTCAAGTTCCACAAATGCTATGATCTCATCCCGACCTCAGCTAAATTGGTGGTGTTTGACACGCAGTTATTGGTCAAGAAGGCCTTTTTTGCACTAGTTTATAACGGTAAGTAAGTAATAAGAGAATTTGTCAATTTCTGTCAATTTTAATACATAATTGGTTATACGTTAGTTTGATAAAGTGAAAGCTAATTTAATTTTTTTTATTTGGACTCGTATTTTTTTTATTAAGTTGGCAGCTTATGCCAGTTTGATTTAGTATTTTTAGTATTTAAAAATTGGTACTTCTGCTTAAGGCCTTAATTAAATACTTTGACACTGCCAAATTGACAGTAATATTGTTAATTATTATATAATATCGATATAAAAAGATAACTATGCCAAAAATAATATCAGATTCTAAAGTAGAAGAACTTTTAAGGACAAAACTTCATTTCGATGAAGCCTTATGAACATTTTTGTAGTAAAAAAGTAACGTTTTTGGTTTTACAAATATTAAATTACACATTATTTTCAGCTAAGCAGCTAAGCGAACATTTTTGAAGAGGGAAATAAAAAAACAAAAAATAAAAATTATTTGCTGATAGGTTCAACCTTTTTGTGAAAAATCTAGTAGTTAATATTCCTGTCTTTAAAAATAGCATCCATTTGGTTTGAAAAAGATAAACAATAATTACGTAACTTTTTCTTCTTTCAATTTGCAAGTTACTAGTCCTGGAGAATATATACATTATAATTATTATTAAGCCTGTACAAGTATTAAAGTCCAGTGGCTTTAACGAAATACCCATTCACCATTGGAGTCCAATGATTGGAAAACATTCACGTGTGTTCACATAAAATTTTAATTTATTTTATATAAATTCTTTTCAAAGCGAAGATTATTATCCGCTAGGAATACTTTGTTTCTCCTGGGCCGTAGTCACCTATATTTAACTACTTTTTTATATGATCTTACTCATCTACGCACCACCAAAATCACCAACAAAACCCCTAAATTTGCAACGTTGCCGCAGTCCAGATTAAAAAAATGAACTTTATGTTAAGTATGGAAAACTCACAATGTGGATTGTGGGAAAACTATTAAAATTGTAAAATAAAACCATTACTGATTTTATTAGTGAAAACAAAAACATTAAATGGAAATGCACCATTAAACGTACAACATTATTTTTACTGCTAATTACTTCTGTTTTCTGTTTATTTTACATTAATACGACTATAGTCCTCGAATCAAGAAGACTAAATAAGGGAGGAATAACTCTTGACCGCAAGGCATAATATGGTTTTATAAATAAAGAATAAGTTTATTTAAACTGTTTTAAATTTTGGATCAACCTTTGGTCTTTAACATTTGCAACAAGATAACATGGCCAACGCAGATAGTCTTTTTTGTGTTATACAAACTTGTCGCTATTGAGCGATTACTAAATGGTGATTAAAACTAAAACAGTGCTTAATTTCAAATTTAACATTAATATTACTTAATACCATATGGTTATAGATATGTATATATTAGTTTGCCCCTTGGCATAAATCGGCAGAGTTCGGCTAAATTCGCATGCATTTAAATGATAAATTCTTGAACCCTTAATTAAAATGTATAAGTAAATTTTCTTTCTGACGAATTAACCTTTCCTTGCATCTCGGATGAAACTTGTCTGGGATAAGATACGATAGGACAGGAACTTAATTAAAATTTATTTTTGGGCTAGACCCTTCCAATGAATTAACGATGTTTTGCATAAATTAATCCCTTATTATTTAAATACTTGAAGGGATAAACATTTAGGGCTAAGAGTTGGTGTTTTAAATTAAACTTATAGTCACTGTCCAGAGGAAACAGAAGCGGTCTTAACGTTAATATTGTCTATTCTTTTTGTGGCATTTAACCACTGTTTGCACAAATCAAAGTTTTTCGGGAATCGATGAAATTTAATGTTTTTATTTAAAGGGTTTTTCTTGGACTGGTTGTCCGAATTGCATCCAAATATGCCACACCGCATTTTAATAAATGCAAATGACAAAAACTAAAACACAAACAAAACAAGTTAACGCAACACAAAAACAATAATAAACAAACAGGACAGGTTAACACAATGCAATAACAATAATTTGAACACTGAAAAGTAATTCGAACCTTACCGAACGCAAAAACAACAAGTTAAACAAAAAAATAACAGCATCACAAAAACAAGAATTTTAGCAGCAGATAATTAAAACGCACGTTAAAGATTTAAAAATACTCAACAAGTGACTTATTTAAGCCCCGCCCAATATGCGCACCATTTTATCTTAAGGTGTATGTATCTTGGGATAAAAACCTCAATAGGTTTTGGTTTAATTGCAACATGTAAATAGGTTTTTTTTTCGGTGCTCAAGCAAAATATTAATCTGCATATAGACATTTGAAAAAAAAAATATTTTTTACATGCAGATTAATATTTTGCCTGAGCACCGAAACAAAAACTTTGCGGAAATGAATCACCCTAATATTATATATTTTAGGGGTCAGAGCGGCCCCGCTGTGGGACAGCACCAAGCAGGAATTCGTCGGTATGTTGACCATCACTGACTTCATCAAGATCCTGCGCATGTACTACAAGTCGCCTAGCGTGGCTATGGAGGAGCTCGAGGAGCACAAGCTGGACGCTTGGAGGCAGGTCCTCAAGGACAAGAAGCCGCTTATCAACATCAACCCGGACGCTTCGCTCTTCGAGGCGATCAAAACTTTGGTCACGAACAGGATTCACAGGTTGCCGGTGATCGATCCCGATACCGGCAACGTGCTCTACATCCTGACACACAAAAGGATACTGAGGTTCCTCTTCTTGTATGTAAGTACAACATATTTTTGTTTGTATTGTTTGTCCAGGGTACCCACTCACCTGGAAAACAGGGAAAACCTGAAAATGTCAGGGAAATTAAATATTAGTAAAAAAGTCAGGGAAAAGTCAGGGAATTTGCTGAATTTAACGAAAAGTCAGGGAATTTAACTAATTTTTCTTGGTTTTTCCGAAAATTGTTTCTATTTTTATTACCGGCCGAAGATTATTTTTTACAAATAATAAAGCCGGGCATTGAAACTAAAATAAATAATTTGCGCAAATACTTATAAAATGTATGACCTTATAAACTAAGTTTGTTTCCTTTCAAATTTTTTATGAATGTTCTGTTTAATTTTTTTATTATATTTTAAGAAATGTTAAAAAATATTGTAAAAAGAAAAATAAATTATATTTTTACTTTACATGTACTATGCTCAAATTTCCACCACGTGACCACGTACGGAACGCAGTCTTTTGAAAATTTGGCATTGAAAAGCCTTAAGCCTTAAGGTTATGTATCTGTCAAAGTATAGTCAACGAAAGAAATAATATTATGTTTAGGCGTTAAAAATGTATAAATCTTTATAACATTAGAATAACAATGGATGGTTTAAGAATTTAAGAATATAAATACTGCATTTAATGAAATTCCAAAGTGTATGGTGCCAAATAAGTAATCTTTTTGTGTATTTGGTCCAAATATCTGGTTTTCTCCATGAAATAATTTTAACTAAACAGCATTTATTTAAAAAAATCTAGCTTCTCTATTATGGAATAAGAATATCTGTATTAAAGGTAGGTTAATATATTATAACAAAAATATCATCTAATATTGTAATTTTAAGGTTAGAAAAATTTATTTTGACCAAAATAAATAAGTATTTTGGATTATTTAAAAGACTGTATAATATGGTATTTAAAAATGTGGTAGTTTTTCTTATCCAGCTTAAAGTGTACCTACATAAAGTTTTGTCAATACAAATAGTTAAAAAGCTTCGACTGAATTTGATCTACATCAAAAAATCATTATAACTTTAAAAATTTTAACAAATCACATGTCATGGGAATATTAAATATTTTCACATTGCAAGTTTCTCTAAAAATTGTTTGTTTTCTTATAATCTACATAACTTAAAGTAGGTATGCCGAGAGGTATGCACAAGTTTTGTCATTAGAAGTATAAGAGCTTCATTTTAATTTGAACCATATTCAACAATTATTTAGTATACCTATATTTATTTACCACCCTCGGTGGTGTAGTAGTTAGCCCTGTGGACTACAAGCCGAGAGGTCGTGGGTTCGAATCCCACCAGGGGTATGGTTGTTTGTGTTTGTCATTGTGTATTTCTGTAATTGGGCCTGGTGCCTGTTGAAAGCACATTAAAAATAATAAAATAAAAAAAAAAAAAAATGACCAAATTAACACACTCTTTCAAATAATCCACTTATTTATTTTGGTCAAAATAGATTTTTCTAACCTTAAAATACAAAATTAGATAAAATTTTTTGTTCCAATACATTAACCTACCTTTGATATATCAAATACAGATATTCTAATAATAGAGAAGTTAGATTTTTTTTTAATAAATTCTGTTTAGTTAAAACTATTTTATGGAGAAATGTAGACCCAATGCACAAAAATATCACTTATATTGCACCTTACACTTTGGAATTTCATTAAATGCAGTATTTATATTCGTAAATTCTTAAACCAACCATGTTATTGTGATACTAAAAAGATTTATTAACTTTTAACGCTTAAACATAAGCGGTATCACTATAAATATGATTTCTTTCATTGACTATACTTTGACAGATACATAACCTGAAAAGCCTTAAATGCCAAATTTTCAAAAGACTGCGTTCCGTACTTGGTCACGTGGTGGGACTTTGAGGTGTGGATCATAGTACCGTGGCCGACACGGAATTTTGAACGACTATCATCCCGTTGACATCAAAATCTAAACTTTCTCTATGGACAACTAACCTTACTTTCGGTTATCACTAGTATTGTAATTTTGACAGCAAAAGCAAAAATGCTCAATATTGTATCTTTGCTATTTACAGATGTATACATTGGCAACCAAGTTATGTCGTTCAAAATTCAGTGTCGGCCACTGTACCTATAATTATTGCTGGAAATTGATGAAAATTGGTCTGGAAAACCTGGAAAAGTCAGGGAATTTTGTTTCATTTTCTTGGTGGGAACCCTGTTGTCGGTTTAAATTTGTAAAGAGTCATTTAAATGATAGTCGATACATTTTTAATAAAAACATTCTCACATTACATTTAAATGACTTTTTACAAATTTAAACCAATAATTTTGTAGAATAAATTATTAAAACTACAATTTTTTAAAAAACAATATTTTAAACTTAAAATTTCACATTTGCATTTTATTGTTTTGAGTTTAAAAAAAATTGAACTATTTTGGTAAAAAATGTTTTAATTTTAAAGATCTTAACACTATTTTTAAATACTAAAAAATTAAATCTAAATAATTTTATAAAAAATTTAAGATTTGCAAAATAAATTTTAAATTAAAAATTATGGTTAGAAATTTTTGCAAAAATTGATTGGAAATAATATTGTTTAGTACAGAAGTGAACTGTTAGTTAGAAAATGTTGTCTTTTAAAACATGATAGTTGAAAATATTTTAAATTTATAAATGTAAATCTACAACTTTTAAACCGGTACTTAAGTGGTTAATAAATATTAAAAACATATGTGGACCCAGATTAGAGCCATGAGGCATACCTTGGATACCTATTTGGTACTTTGGTTCTGTTCTTTAAATATTGCATACAGTTTTCAAGCAAGCTGCAAGGTTTTCAGTTCCAATAAAAACATATAAAATGTAATTTATTAATTACTGCAAATGATTTTTAGTAAGTGTAAAAGTAATTAAAGTTGAAATGCGAGGTTTCGAAAAGTTTCGTAAATAAACTTATTAAGATTCTCTTGCGACGCGTCGTAGAGATCCGGAAAATCATTTTATCTTGTTTGCCTCCTACAAATAACAATTTTGCCATAATATTATTTAAGGCTGTATTGTATACTTTAGCATGCCTACTCAAAGTAAACACTGACAGAATAAACAAGAAGGGAAGACTTGAAAATTGTATACCTAATTGTATTTTAAATGCAGGCTGATATTTTAGTTTTATAAGTGTTTTTAATTTATGCCAATTTATTGGTGATTTTTTGTCATTTTATAAAACGTATTCAGAAACGTTGGCTCCAATAAAAAAGGAAAAATTAAAAAATATTAAAAACCCTTCTTGTATCTATTATTTCCCCAAAATTCAGTAGAACTGTGAAAATTTTTATCAAAAAAGTAAAAAAAAAATAAAGATAAAACTTTCTATTTTATTTATACACAACCTATACACAAAAGCCTTTCATACTTATATACATTTCAAGTCGTTGAATTGATTGTTTTTCTACAAATTTAGGGTGTAACGTTTTTCGAGGTTTTGAAAGCTAGCAAAAAGATTTTAATTCATCTTGAATTTTTTTTTTAATATCTCGAAAACTAAAAATAAGGAATTAAAGTTCTTTTTAGACCTATGTTTTTCTAGACACTCATTTTATTGCTCGCAAGCTTCGCTCGTGCCTAATTATATAAAATTCGTGACTAAAATGACACTTAATGTATTACTTAACTATTAATTCGACTGAGCTTGCATTAATTTTAAATTTAAATTAATATCCTTAAATCCTCAATAGATGTGCTGCGACACGAATGCCATTACGATTTATTGGAACTTTAAAAGCTGCAACAACACAATTGAATTTGAATAAATTGCTATAATACCGCAAATCCGCGTAATATTGGTCGCTTATAAATCCAAACGTGCTCCGCAAAAATGGATAGGTAAATATTTATGAGTCTTTCTCACGATCCTAAAAAAAAATATGTAACTTCAGTGGCGTGGCCAATCAATACAAATGCCCATCGTCAATTTTCTTAGTAACTTCTTTTGTTGCTTTTTTTTTCATTATAAATTCGCAAATGTATAAAATAAGTTATTTGGAAAAATCCCGAGCGGCTCATTTGAAATGTAAAGTTATATCTTGAAACTTGCATTTAAATATTGCATTAAACATATTTTTTTATTAATGGAAATTATAAAAAAATAAAGCAATAAAAATATTTAATATTTAAAAATAATAAAGACAAAATGTAAACGATATTACATTATTTATATTTATATTATACATAGAAACAAACAAATAATTGTAATATAAACAAAAACAAAATACAAATATTGAAAGTTTTAATGATCCCAACAAACTGTAATGTAAACAATATTACATTTTTTATATTTTTATTATACATGGAAACTAAGAAATAATTGTAATAAAGGGTGTATCAATAAGAGCGCAAGATTTCAAAGTTTAGTAAAACATGGTTTTAAGTATTAAAGCATTGAAATATTTATTGATTTATAAAGTACACATTTGGAAATTATGTATAAAATAACACATCTGGTAAATGGCCACCACGGCTTAACTGGCACAAGCGTATTCTTTTGGCAAAATTTGCAATAACATTATTGAATACATGTGGCGGTATTTCGTTGATAGAGCGTCTAATTTCTGCTTTTAAGGCTTCGATGGTGGCGGGCTTGTCGGCATAAACTTGTGACTTCAAATAACCCCACAGCCAAAAGTCCAAGGGTGTTAAATAGTGGTGAAAATGGGCCTTATCACTGAAAATGATTTTGTCCGCAAAATCGGCATTCACTTCTTGCTGCTCAAGGATCCAATTGGTGAACTCTCTTCGCTGTTCATGGTCTTTTGGCTGGAGTTGTTGAGTCAATTGGACTTTGTAGGCATGAAGATGCAAATCTTAAGTAAGAATTCGCCGAAGAGTGGCTTTTGTAATGTCCAATTCTTGTGCACGATGGCAAATCGACGTCTCTGGACTCTCGGCCACACTCTTGCGAACTGCTGCGACATTTTGTTCTGAACGAGCTCGTGTCGTGTATTTCACATCACTAACCGAAGCAGTGCACTGCAGTGCTTTCAAATTTTTCGATTATTCTTTTCACAGTAGATGAATTAGGAACATTATTTCGAAAAAATATTGGACGCCCTTTACGAATCGTGGCAATCAAACTTTCATCATTTTGATAATAGTGTTTAACAATCAGAACGGGTTGTTCTATATTTAGCTCGTGTCGTGTATTTCACATCACTAACCGAAGCAGTGCACTGCAGTGCTTTCAAATTTTTCGATTATTCTTTTCACAGTAGATGAATTAGGAACATTATTTCGAAAAAATATTGGACGCCCTTTACGAATCGTGGCAATCAAACTTTCATCATTTTGATAATAGTGTTTAACAATCAGAACGGGTTGTTCTATATTTACTAACTTCCATCTGTCTCCTATCAATCTGTCATGTCATTAATCATGTGACATCATGGTTGCCAAACTGAGGCGAAATTCAAATCTTGCGCTCTTATTGATACACCCTTTACAAACAAAAAAAACAAATACAAATATTGAAAGTTTACTTTAAATGATCCCAACAAACTTTACTGTAATTTTTGCAATTCTATTTGTTACCACCCAAAGGCGGTCAAAAATGTTGGAACCGTGAGTGTCACTGTAACACGTGTCTTTTATACTTTTAGATAAACGAATTACCAAAACCTAGTTACATGCATAAAACTCTGCGCGAGGTTAAGATAGGAACGTACGACGATATCGAAACGGCTTCCGAGGACACCTCGATAATTTTAGCGCTGAAAAAGTTCGTGGAAAGGCGGGTGTCAGCTCTGCCCATTGTAGATCTAGAGGGCAGATTGGTGGACATCTACGCAAAATTTGATGTCATAGTAAGTTTCCGCATACTGTGCGTTTTGATATTTTTTGTTCGTCAACTAGCACTGTGCGAATTTAAAGTTTGAAGTTTGAACAAGTAAAAATCGTGCGAATATTTTTTTAGAATTTGGCTGCAGAAAAAACCTACAACGACCTGGACGTATCGTTGAAAAAAGCCAATGAACATAGGAATGAATGGTTTGAAGGTGTACATAAATGTAAATTGGATGAGACGTTATTTGCTATAATGGAAAAAATAGTGCGAGCAGAGGTAACCTACACAATCAACAAGAATAATTTATTTTATTTTACTATTTTTTTTAGGTTCACAGATTGGTTGTCGTGGACGATGATGATAAAGTGATAGGTATAATTTCATTGTCTGATCTTTTGTTGTACTTGGTACTGAGGCCGTGTGGCGAAGATCAGTCACCAGAGGGCGTTGCGTCTGTAAGAGCTCAGGTAAATATACAAAAAAAAATTTTTACATATTTTTTCTTTAAGACTAACAAAAAAATTATGCAGGTCATTACTTAATAATGGACAAGAGAAATCTTTTTTGGAGCATTAACAAAGTTATCTCTGCTCTTATAAAATATTTCTTGCGTTTCTTTTATTTATCATACAGCCTTATAAAACAAAAATATTTTTGATAATTGTCATGCCAAAATTTTATATAATTATACTGGGCCATCAAAACTAAAAACTATTTTTTTTTGTAAAGTATATCGAAAATATTGTTTGGGGTGACAAAAAAAATTTATTGTGAAAGTTTGAGTCCATAATATTAATATTAAGAGAGCTATCATCGCAATTTTTTTTTCATGAGCAAGTTTTTGTCTCATTGAGTTCAGCAAAATATATATTTTAAGGAAATTGACTTCTCTACAAAAAAGGTCTAAATAAAATTTTCCGTCAGATGAACCGTTTCCTTAAAATCATTCTTTAAAAATTGGTATAGTTTTACAATTTGATCTTTTAACTTTGTAATTTTGTAATTTATGTAAAAATCAGTACCCGGAAAAAAACAATTAATGTTCTTATGGCTAAACTCATTCAATCAAAAGTTATTCTTAAGTAATATCATAAGAGCATCTAATTTTTCCGAAAAAAATCGAAAAAACACGTTGCTAAGTAATATTTTAACAAGAAGCATGAGTGCTGGTGTCAACAAAACGAGGATTTTTGCACCTGCACGAATGCATTTTGTTAAAAAATATTACTTAGCATTGTGTTTTTTTGACTTTTTTTCACAGGAAAAATTAGATGCCCGAATGGTATTTGACAAGACTATTTCATGAGTAACAGTTATTCTGCATACACATATCTTACAAAACATTCTACCTATTATACATAATAAATATGTAGGTATTAATTAGAAAACTGAAAAATGGTTCCATGCATTAATAAAATCAAACGCATAGTTAGGTAGATCATTTATGGCCACTTGCACCGTTTTTAACTGATCAGTTAAATAAACTGCCAAGTTAAAAGGTAACAGGAGATTAGTGTCCAAAATCTTGAACCGTGATTTTTCACTATGGTTTAAAATTTAACTAGTGATCTAGGGAATTTGACCAAAAAAATGGAAAAGATTGGTGCTAATAGCTAACTTCACACTTATTTGTGACGCAAATCACAGATTATAAAGGTTGACGCAAATATATTATGACGTTAAGACCTTTATAATCTGTGGTTAAGAGTTCGATTCTTTATAATCTGTGGTTCGATTCTATATCATCTGTGGTTCGATTCTATTTCATGTACGACCGATTCAGTTGATGGTAAGAGAGAATAATATGGATACAGAACCTGAAAAAAAGAGGGCTCGCTCCTCAAATTTTTCAGAAAATCAAAAAATCATTTAGGTAATTAATCTTGTTGATACAAGGGTATCATTGAAAACAAAGAGACAAATATAGCTAAAACAATTAGAGCAGGAAATTAACAATAAAAAGGATGAAAAAGAAATGACTTTCGGATTTAAAAATTTAAAGAAGAACTTAATATATTGTAATAATTAACAAGAAGTGACTATTGATTTTATTTTAATTTTAAATACCTAAGTATAAATTAAATAAAACATCAAAAATATGATTCACATTAAATTTTATAAATTCGCAAAATAATCTTGATTGATTTTGAAACATAATGCGATCTTGTGGATGAGTAACAACTTCAGTTCATGGCATTAATATCATCAGGCAATTGCCATTAATGGCGACTCTGGTTTATTAATGTCTCTAGCGATATTATTTAGTACATCTGCAGCTGGAATAATGGACAAAACTGTATCTAGTTTTAATCTTAAGCTATATGCCAACACTGGAAACCTTCTTTTCCAAATTCCAAATACTCTTTCTATTATATTTCTGGTTCTTAGTAGTGACTCATTATAAAGTTGCTGACCTCTATACCTATAACTATAGTTATTGGATTTGCTAAAGATGTCAATAAATAATATCTTTGGAAAAAAAGATCTTGAATACCCATGACTAGTACTTTTGAGGTTATAAATCGTTAACGGTAGATTAATGTAAAGCCGGGTTCTAACAGAAAAGTAATTTAATTTAAGATGTAATTTAATTTAAACCACCGAAATTAAGCGTTTATTTTAACAGTAGTTTAGAAGTATTTAAACAAGAATTAATTTACGGTGCAAGCCAGTTATGAAAAATAAACCTGTGTTAAAAAATAAACCACTGTTAAACTTACGGTGCAAGTGGCCATTAATTAAATACTCTGACACTGTCAAATTGACAGTAATATTTATTATTGACTATTTCCCTCGTTTTAATTTCCACCAATCACAAACGCGCAATTTTGAATTACAAATGGTTTCTAGGTGAAAAAACTGTGTGACAGCACCTTTCAGCAGTTTTTTCGAGTTTACCCGCGGCAAAACTTGACAGCTGTTGTCACCAAAAATTGCAATTTATATTTTAATTGTTAACTGTTACTCATGAAATAGTCTTGTCAAATACCATTCGGGCATCTAATTTTTCCTGTGAAAAAAATCGAAAAAACACAATGCCAAGTAATATTTTTTAACAAAATGCATTCGTGCAGGTGCAAAAATCCTCCTCTTCGACTCGGATTTTTGTTGCCACCAGCACTCATGCTTCTTGTTAAAATATTACTTAGGAACGTGTTTTTTTCGATTTTTTTCGGAAAAAATTAGATGCCCTTATGATATTACTTACGATAATTTACTTGTTAATTATTATATAATATCGATATAAAAAGATAACTATGCCATAAATAATATCAGATTATAAGGTAAAAGATCTTTTAAGATTTCATTTTGTAACTACTTTTTTATATGATTTTACTCATCTACGCACCACCAAAGCCAAATTAATTGCATTTTTAACTACGAATTTTGACAACTCAACTTGACAACCGTTCAATAGTTTAAACATAACATTACATTATAATTACATTTATAACTTAGTTTAGTTTGTTTTAATCAATGCAACCCCTAAATTTGCAACCTTGCCGCAGTCCAGATAAAAAATGAAACGGGTTGCAACGTTGCCATTTTGCCCAGAATTTTTGAGCGTATAGACAATCGAGAACGTTCCCTCATTTCAGGTATTAAACTGAAACTAATATTCGCTCGATACGGTGTAAACCCGAAAATACACTACCTACTTTAACAATTTAACAAATTAAAGCCTTAATTTTTATTTAAGGACCTCGAGTTGCAAAGGAGCCTTTCGGCGTCTGGTAGAAACTCCTCTGCTGAGGACATCTCGCAGGCAATCCCTGAGGAAGAAGAGCACGAACGCGCCGAAGAAGAAGAAGAAGAAGAGGCGAAAAAAGACGACGACGAAAAGGAGGAGTCGGAGGGGAGCATGCCGGAATCCCCTCTGATGGAGAACTCCATGTTCCGGGAGGTGGCCGTCAGTAGCGACGCAAAGCAAATCCACATCACCGGTTAGTTAATTTTTTTTACTGTAAAGATTGATGCGGGTTTCGTGTATTTTAAAGAAAAAAAAACATTCTAAACTTACCATGCTGGATTGTTTCTTTGATTTTATGGCATTATGCGGGCTATAATTTAAATAATGGAGTTTAACGCCACCTGGAGGATTTGTTTGAAAAAGTAAGTAATCGAGTTTATTACTTAATACACTGACTCACAATTTTCACAAAACAAACAAAACATTATTTCAATTATACTCTGTATGTTCAAATTAGGCACAGTAGTATTTATTACGACCTTATCTAGTCATTTTTAGTTTTTTCCTTGATTTTTATTTCTAATATAAAAAATATAACAAATTAACAACGCAATGCAATACCAGGAAACGCTACACCAAAATTAAGAAAAGTAAACTAAAAAAATCCGGATATTTTTATACTTTAGCGCTGTTGTTGTGCTTACAAGTAGAGGAAAAAATGTAAAATATGTATATAGTGTGTTGAGACTAAATGGAAAATGTTACGGTGCCATAAAGATTTTAAGAGTGGGTTTGATGGGATATTAAGGAATTTATACTTTTATATGTAAAGTGGAGAGGGTCGAATTTACGCTTTTTTCGAAATTAATTTGGTAATGGAAAAAATATTATTCTTCAAGGTGAAAAAATTGTTTTTGGTCTAATAATAATAATAATATTAAAAACAGTACAAGTCCAAAAGTTAAAATTTTGTCAAAATATTTCATAAAATCAGTTTTATAGTTCAAAATGCATTTTTGTGCTAGCCTAGAATTTACCAAAAAAAATTCTTTACTTAAAATACGTAAAATTTAGCAACAATTTAATTTTGGGATAAAATCGCGATTATCTACGAAATCAAGATATTTACCTCAAAATTGATAGAAACCTTTTTTGAAGACAATTGCATTTCCTAACAGATGGCGTAAAATAATTTGTTACTTGCAATTAAATCGGTGAGATTAAAAACAGTACAAGTCCAAAAATTTTGACAAATTATTTCATAAAATCAGTTTAATAGTTCAAAATGCATTTTTCTGAGAATATTTCAACTATTTTATAAAATATAATAACTACATTTTGTAAAATAATTTATATATTCTCTCAAACATGCATTTTAAACTTTTAAGTTGATTTTAAAAAATGATAAAAATAAAAAAAAATTGTTCACATAATTTTTTTTTACCTCAAAAAATAATATTTCTGTTATTACCAAATTTATTTCGAAAAAGCGGATATTCGACCCACTGTAATGTACAGCGTGTTTGCAATTTACCCGATAAAAGTAAAATAATGAACACTGTATATAAAATTTTATTTAGTTGGGGTTTTTAGTCAAGTTTAACTTTTCTTTAAAGCTTTTTAGAAGACAAATTAATTAATTAACTAGCTTACCTAATTATTGGAAAAATATACATTTTGCTAAATTGAAAGACAATGTTTTTTTTTAATCCTTGACTTAATGTTTTCTTTTGAACGTAATTTTAATTTTGGTATCTCATCAAGTGATATACATTATGTGTACTTAATAAGTTATACCAAAGACTGCTTTCTAATTAATATATGACACTTGCAAGAAACAATTCAGTTGAAGATTCTATCTCAATACAAGATGTGCTTTATTTATTTATATTGTATATTATATACTGTTTAAATGATGTATTATGTTAAGTTGATGCAACTGGGTTAAATAATACTTATTAAATTTAACCATCAACACTTTGTTTACTAAAACTAAGTATATAGGGTGCTCCAAGTATCTTTTCATGTAAGGGGATACTTTTTATTTTAAGAGATATAAAGGTTCAAAGAAATTGGATGAAAATGTATATAAATGTGTTTCTCTTATATAAAGAACCTTTAAATAAAAACATATTGATACCCATAGAAGGTGCACCCTGTAGATTTAAATTTAAATGGTAAATAGTTTTGTGATGTGAAGAATTTTATTGCCCACTAATTATAGAAATAATCAACAAAAAGTTCTTAGCAATGCGATTTTCTAATGCCTTAACACTCGCGCTTAGAGAACTTTCTGTTCAAATTATTTTCTTGTTGGCGGTCATAAATTGAACCAAATTTTCTACAGATTTTTATGAAGAATTACTTATGTACTATAAGCAACAGATTATGTTGTATTCAGCAAATCACTTTGTAGTTTGGTTTGTTGCATGAATTTTGGAATGGCTGAGAATGTGCAAAAAAGTGTATCTTCATCAGGTTATAGAATATGCACAGTTAATAAATTTTATATTAATTATTAATAAATATGTACATAATTTAGGTATGTTTATTATTAAGCCAGTTGGAACTCAAAATTGGTAATTCATAATGTTATTAAGGTAGTTTTAAGTTATACAACGATGTAGTTTTCATAGTTGTAAGGCATTGATGGCCTAGTGTGAGTTTCAAAACTTTTAATTATTTAAGTAAAAAATATCTAGGTGATATGAGTTTTATTTACCCTATCAGCACTCGTTTTACAGGTAAGTAAAATAATTATGAAATTGCGATTTCAGCAATATGCACATTTATGCCTTTTGGGCTGATAGTTTCGGAGATATTATTATTAAAAGTTTATAATTTACTTTTTAATAATGTTTTGATGTTTTACAGTTATTTAAAGACTTTTATAATAAAATTAAAAAGTGTTTATAGAAGAAATGTTCATAAACTTTCTCAAAGTATTTCATTTCAAGGTCAAACTTTTTCAGTTTATTATTGTTTTTTGTTATTCTACAAATAGCAAATGATGATATAGGAAGTTTTTTATTTTATATTTATTTGTCATAAAAGTAGCAAAATATCAAAATAAAGAAACCTATTTAAAATAAAAATAAAGTAGTTAGTTTAGTTTCCGTCAAATAGATGTCGCAATGTATACATTTATACATATAATCACCACAGGTGCACAGGTATGCATTTATAAAGAATTCTTTATATCTTTTAATTCAGCATTTAATAAAACCAAAAAATACATTTGAACAATTGTTTGTGTTGGTTGATTTTTTCTCAGAAAACGTCTTCTTAGGTAATATGATGGTGCTTCAAAAAATTAATGTAGTTACCTTACCTTAATCATTGTTGTAAAGGTATTGAAGGTGACAAAATAAAAGTTGAAAAAATGCTTAAGTTTTTATTTACTGAAATAAAACTGTTACAATATATTTATACATAACTAACAAAAAGGTAAAAAGCAATAATAAAGATAAATAAGTAAACAAAAAATCTGTAAATTAAGGACACAGAAGAAAACATCCAACAATAAATTGATTATGGGATGTCCGATTTACTAATAGCGTAAGTTAAGTAACACGTAAGGATACATTTATAAATTCCATAGAATTTATTAGAGATGGTAACTATAATCTATTATAATTTAAACTTAAAAAACTATAACTAGTTATAATAGCAAGTAAAACTGGCATGTAATGGCAAGTTTATTATTCCTTTCGTAAATTTATATCTGATAGTTAACAAGTTAAGCAAACAAGTTCAACTTAAATTAGGTTTATAGGTGGGACAGCAGATTAAAGCCCCTAATCATAACTAGAGATTCAAAATTTCCGGAAAAATTGAGTGTCGGAAAAAAACCCTGTTTTTTTCCTGGAAAAATTGGAAAAAAACGGAAATTTTGGGAAAAATTGATATTTTCTTAAAACTAAAAAAAATGTTTAAAAATAGTTCCCGTTATGTATAGGCGCCCCCCGGGAGAGGCACCTGTAAGGTCATGCTTTTTAACGATGAAAAAAGCCTAGTTGCCTAGTTGCCGACGGCCGTAATTCACATTAAAATCATTGTTGGTAACTATTCAAAATACACTAACCCAGGAGTTAGTAGTATATTCAATGATATTAACTTCACAATGGCAACCCTGCCCGATCAGCTGATTAGGAACCGACGCGTCGGACCGATCGTCGTTCGTTTACAGCGTTACGGTAAGCCACAATCCATGTGGATTGTGACGGTAAGCATAAAAACATTTATCTTGTATTAAATATACTTTTTTTATTGTACCCACAATACACAATGGTATGCTTTTTGCTCAAAGCACTACTGCAAAAATATATTTATTGAATTTCCACTCATTAATACATAAATTATATCAAATCAAAATACTTTTTAGATTTTCGCTTTTTTTAAATATTTTTTCAATTTTTCCGTTTTTCAATTTTTCCAAGGCTCGGGAAAAAAACGGAAAAAAACACTGTTTTTTTCCAATTTTTCCTGTTTTTTTCCGAACCTTTAAATCTCTAATCATAACCAACACAGTTTTCTTTCGATTGCACAGGATAATTCATAAATCTACTGGTAAAATGTAAATTTGTATTCTAGAAAGCTCTGAGAGTCCAATACAAATTTTCAACATGACTATTTTGTATAAATATAAATCACCATGTAAATTGGTATAAAAGGTTTTTGGAAAGAAAAGTAAAAAGCAGGTACAAACATGTAAAAATTTCGAAATTGCAAGGTCCCCTTATAAATAGCGATTTTTCTACTATTCGGAAAATCCAATTAATTTTAATTCTTCAGTAAAGTTGCATTAAATTTGTTCTAGTAATTAAATTTTGCAATAAATTTAAATTAACCATGTGTTTCCCTGAAGAGATAAAAAAATAAAAACAAAATCACATGATCGATGGTATTTCCATATGCGGTCAATTTTTTAAACAACAACATTCAAACTAAATCAGATTGTCACCACATATTGTTTAGCAACTTTACTGTTTATTTTTTTATGGGAACGGAAAGCGTTGAAAATTTCAAGTTCAAGCGGACGGTGTAAAAAGAGGGTGCAAAACAACACCTTAAAACTATTTTTTTTTCTTTAAATATTTCCATGTCATTCCTTCAGGTAACTCACTTTTCAGTCCATCGTTTCTTATTCAAGGCAGTTTGATGATATGAAATCATATAAAGATCAGATATGAGAAATGGCACAATTTTTCATAAAATTTGTACAAAATTAAACAAAAACAACTAAAAACAAATCAATAAAACTCTTAATAATATACTACTCTTGATAGGAAAGAGACCGTCTCTTCAAGAATAATTTAGGTAAGTTTTTCTCATTTGTCAATTGAATATAAGTATTCATTATTGGGTGAATAGTTTTGAAGGAACAATAATTTTTTTCACTACCCAAGCAAAATATTGATTTACATATCGAGAAAAAAATGCATACTAAGATATAAAGCATTTAATAGTACTGTCAAATATTGATTCAATAATTATTCTTATGTTGTTTAAGGCAAAACGGTTAAATTTGCAGGTTAAAAGTAAAAAAAAATGAAAGAAAATTTAATTTGCTATATAAAAGATTCCATCCATTTATCCAATAAAATGCATAGGTAAATTTAACCGTTAACTAATTAATTAATCAGTACTATTTAATGCTTTATATCTTTTAAACAGCATTTCATTGCATGAATAGGACCTTAAAAAAATAATATGTTGTTTTACGTCACAACGCTTAAAGTTACAGGTAAAAAGTAAAAAAGTTTTATAGAAAATTTCATTTCTATGCATTAATCCAATAAAATGCATAGTTTAAAAGATATAGAGCATTTAATAAATTTAACTGTCAAATTAAATTTTCTATAACATTTTTGTTTTACTTTTTACCTGTAAATTTAACCGTTTTGCCTTAAAACAACATAGGACTAATTAAGGAATCAATATTTGACAGTACTATTAAATGATATATATCTTTTAAACAACATTTTATTGCATGAATAAATAGAACCTTTAAAAAAAAATAATATGTTGTTTTACGTCACAACGCTAAAAAGTAAAAAAAGTTTATTGGAAAATTTAATTTCCTATAAAAAGATTATATGCATTGTTCCAATAAAATGAATAGGTTAAAAGATATATAGAGCATTTACTAAATTTAACTGTCAAATTTCGATAAAAAGTTGACAGTTAAATTTAGTAAATGCTCTATATCTTTTAAACTATGTATTTTATTGCATTAATGCATGGGACATTTTTTGAAACAAAAAATTCTATATTTTTTTTACTTTTTAACTTCAACCGTTTTGCCGTAAAACAACACAGGACGAATTAGTTTATTAATATTTGACACTAGTTTATTTAATCTTTGAAACTATACATTTTATTGCATTATTTCAAAGGAACTTTTTTATAGGAAATTAAAATATTTTTAACTTTTTACCTGTTACTTTAATCGTTTTTTATTAAAAATATGACTAGGGAGTCATAAAAAATGAATGTTCCTTCAAAACGTATTACCCCAGTATGTATTGCAAAAATATTAAGTACAAATTTAAGTATAGTTATATGGGATATCCGCTATTGTGGTAACATAACTTCGTCATAATAGTAAATAAAATACTTTTTTATCAAGAAATTTAAATATATTGGTATATCCCAGATACGTACCTAAGTATATAATTCGTTTGAGTAAATTGATTTCTCAAAAAGTTTTATACAAAAACAAAAAATAAATAGATTTTAGGTAACTTTTTTTTGACAGGTAAATTTACAGTCCTAGTAAAATATATTATTATTTTAAACAATGTAAATAAAATATTCTCTTCTTTTAAAATATGTACATGTGCCTTGACTAGGTATATCGCATATATTAGTAATTTCCACACAATTTTGTGTAGTGGTAACATTGAAAAAAATATTAAAAGCTTAATGTATAACTTTAACCCTAACTACATATTATCACGTAAAATTGTAACTTAAGTTTTCTGCTCCGTTTCGAGTATTTTTCTCTTACCATCGACAAAAAGTTCATTCGCCACGTTTAATTAAATTAAATTAAATTAAATTGTGAGAAATCGAGTGGTATAATCTTAAATCTAAAAAGTTGTGCTTCACATAATATACAAAAAATATAGCGGGAATTTGTTCTCCAATAAAAAACAAACCCCTGAAAATCTGTGTCCACTTTTAGTTAATAATTAAAATAACTAAGGGAGATGTGGAGAGACAGGGAATTTGTTCAAGATAACTGGAGACTGGAGAAGGCATGGTTTCTTAATCAACTAGTTTTCCTAGTATTAACTGAATTGTCGACATAACATTAAAATCAAGCCCTAGGATGGTGCAATTCTATTCTTTAGAATGCGACATTTAAATTTTCGACTTCGCTAGAAGAAATGTAGGTTTAGTTGGAAAGTAGCCGAATATTTTAGATAAGCTCATGGGATTTCATTTAATATAAACGAAATTGTCGTTAAGAAGATTTGATACAAATGTTTATCTTAAGGAACAAGTCTCAAGTTATGTAAGATTTTTTTGTTCAAAGTTGAGATGAGTATTTAAAATGAGTAGGCCGCGCTAGTAAAAAATTGGAATGTTTAAAAAATTTAAAGTTCAAAAGTATAAAAATGCGTTATATATTGAATTTTACCTTTTTCTATTACTAGATGATGGATGTAAAAATCTCGAAAAATAAACTAAAATCATTCGACCACTTTGTTTGGTAAGTAAAAATTAAAACAAGAAAAATTTAAGGATGACGTACCTAAAAACTATCAACAAATCACATAGAACAATTTATCACGTTTTCTTCAAAGAGTGGGGGGGATAGTAACAATTCTTCAATTTTTCTCTCTAGAAGGGTAAACTTGCTACGAACATCTTCTCTATTAGAGGCGGGGCGGGAACCAGATCCTCCAGCTTCAGGTAGAATATCCTCTGCAGTCCCTGAACGCTCAGGGACCGAAGCTCGGGCAGCTTCCCCAACAAACGGCTGAAGTAGTGAGCTTTGCGCTGAGCTTCAGCGTTGTAGGTGACGTGGTCGCGAAGCGAAGATATTATCTTCATTTGAAGCTGCTCTATTCGGTGCGGTTCTTTCAAACCATGACGTTCTGAAACAAACAAAGCAACTGTCATCGATGTTCCAGAAAGCAAGATTGAAAGTACAGATCATTTTTTTTATTTGGACTTGTTTTTTTATTAAGTTGGTAGCTTTTGCCAGTTTGATTTAGTATTTTTAGTATTTAAAAAATGGTACTTCTGCTGAAGACCAAATTGACAGTAATATTTATTATTGATAATTTAATTGTTAATTATTATAAAATATCGATATAAAAAGATAACTATGGCAAAAATAATATCAGATTATAAAGTAAACTTTATTTCGATAAAGGGTTCCTGTATACATTAACTCACCCTTAAATTTCAATTTTTATTGTAAATTTATGTCATAAATGAATATAATACACTATTTTAGGCATATTTAGGTGCGGAAAAACCAAACTTTCGCTAAAATATATGTTTATAGTGTTAAATTCAACAAACTTTGCTTAAAACTGTCACCTTTTCTATGTACTACACTGAATTTTAATCTGTCATAATTTCCAATGACAAAGCTATTTCTTGCAATGTTGCCAAGTTTAGAAATGGTAAAATTATTATTTTTTGATTTAAAATTAAATATTTATTGTACCAAAACAAATAGAAATGTATGTAAAAACTTTAATTAAATATTATTATTAAGTAAGTATGTACAATATTTTTGGTATTTACGAAAATAATGATATGTATCTTTGTAAATTGTAGGTAGGCAACCCAGATTGAAATTTAAGATAATATTTTAAATTGAATTATATATAATATTTTATTAAATAATAATCAAATACCAATAAATGTATCTACTTAATTAAACAATTAAATTCTGTTAAAATTTACTTTTGCATTTTATTTAATGGCATGATTTGCAAATTTTGTTTCTTTTGTTTTAAAACAAAATTTGTTATTTTAGTTGTCATTTAATTGATAAAGTGTCAATTGTGATTTATTTTTGCTGTTTGCGTATTTGTTATATGTTTGAAAAATGAATATTCAAAATATTACCAACGTTTTTGAGTTAACTTCGAAACCTGACGAAGAACTAATTACTGCCCTACAACAGGCTGGACTTTTAAAAGCCCAGTTTCGTTGCAAGGTAAGAAACTGCCGAAGAATGTGTGAATTAAGAGCCAGGGATGGACAGTTTGCTCTTAATCACGCATTTTACTGCCGCCCTTGTAAAAGGGAGTATAGCGTACTATCGGGAAGTTTCTTTCACCAAATGAGAGTGTCTGTCCGCGATGTAATCCACATCATGTGGTACTGGGCGTGTGAAGTCAGAACTGGCTCCGTCGCCCAGATCACGGGTACTCATCGCGGGCTATCCATTCAAACCTTTCGGTATATTAGAGACATTTTATCTTGGAAATTAATGCAAGAACCATTTTTATTGGGTAAGTACAATATTATATAATATTATCAACAGTTAAGTATACCTAATTGTTTTGAAAAAGTGCCAAGTATAAAGAATAAACTGATCACGCCCATCTCGATTCGCTCAGCATTTATGTGGCCTGGGCGGGCTTGGTCAGTGCCTGAGCCCATTTTTGCGCGCGCAAAAATGGGCTCAGGCACTGACAAAGCCCGCCTCGCTTCGCTCGGCATTTAATTAAATTGATTAAGTTCACAAGTAGCCTTGGCGGGCTTGGTCAGTGCCTGAGCCCATTTTTGCGCGCGCAAAAATGGGCTCAGGCACTGACCAAGCCCGCCTCGCTTCGCTCGGCATTTAATTAAATTGATTAAGTTCACAAGTAGCCTAGGCGGGCTTGGTCAGTGCCTGAGCCCATTTTTGCGCGCGCAAAAATGGGCTCAGGCACTGACCAAGCCCGACTCGCTTCGCTCGGCATTTAATTAAATTGATTAAGTTGCCTAAGTCCATTTATGCGCTCGTAAACTAAATTTATTATTACTTTTAGGAGGCCCTGGGACAACCGTACAAATTGATGAGTCGGTCATAACGAAAAGGAAATACCACAGAGGGCGCGTGGTCCCCGAAAAATGGATTTTAGGGATTTATGATACCACGAACAATCTGGGATATATACAGCATGTTCAAAACCGTAGTGCCCAAGTGCTAATCCCAATTATCCAGAACCACGTGAGAGCCGGAAGTGAGATCTGGACCGACATGTGGAGAGGCTACAATAGTCTTCCACATCATGGATATATACACCGCACTGTTAACCATTCTCGATATTTTCGAGATCCAGTGACTGGTGTATGTACCAATCATGTGGAAGGCTATTGGAGCAAGCTCAAGCAATATTTACGGCGGTTGGGAGTAATTGGTTCTCCATTCTTATACGAATATATCGACCAATTTTTATGGAATGGTCTTTATGGGGGTACGGCAGTCAATCGCTTCAGTAATTTAATATTACATATATCCCAACGCTATCCGTAATTTTTTTAAATCTTTGTTTTTATTTTTTTTTTTTAATATTTTTATAATTTAAAATTTTAATGTTCATTCATTTATTAAAACATTATTTTTCCCCACTAGATAGTAACTACCATATTGTTAGGTTTGTTCCTACCGAATATTTTGACTATTAAATCAACGTCATGAATATGTACAATAATAAAATTGCGCAAACAATTTTAGTATTGAGAATGTTCCCTGACTTTCACTCGATAGTCAAAACACTCGGCAAGAGCAAGCCTATTTTAGACCGATGAGCCATAAAGCCTGATTTATAGATTGCCTTCCTTCCTTCCTTCCTCCCGTAGAAGTTGAAGAAAACAAAAACCTGTTGTCCCGTAGGGAAATCTATAAATGGCACTACGATTTTCGTATTGTTCATCTTCTACGGAAGGAAGGCAATCTATAATTCAGGCTTTAGTTATGACTCGTCGTTGCGATAGTAATCTTGTCCAGTATGACAGGAATCTTCTCTAAAAATTTAATTTTGAACTTTAAACTGATTTTATAAACAGAATCACGCTCATAACGAGCGGACGGTGGCTCAAAACAATGTGACTTTAGTGGCGATCGACTTTCGCGTCGATCGTCACTGTAACCCTGTTTGTACAACTTGTTGTTTGTACCTTGGTTTTGTCTAGGCCCAAAACCATGTAACTTTAGGGGCGGTCGACGTCCACGTCGATCGTCGCACTAGCCCTGTACTGTACAACTTGTACAATTGTACAGTTAACTGTTTGTACAATTTTTAATTAATATGAATGCATTTTAAAATTTGAATTTATAAACATATTTTTTAACTCTTGCATATTATTTAGATTATTTTGGTATTTTCGTATTAATTGTACCCACCTAACAACGGGAATAATAAACTCATTATTTACGTTGCTAGGCATCAGTGATTGGCCAATTTCAATATTCACTGTGATTTAAAACAATCAGGATTTAAATTGTGAAAAGTGAGATTGTAACTGTCTAACAGATGTCAGATTTTTACATATATACAAAGGGTAACTATAATTATCTTTAAAATCGAGAGAAAGTGAGGTTAAAATTTATTTTTTTAATAATAAAAATTACTTAATTGGAGTAAAAAAAGCATAAATAGTATTAAACTTAAGATAATGCACAGATAATGTGCATATACCTATAGGTATAATATAATAGTATATTATATATAATATACTATTATACATAGTATTTATTAAATATTATACAGTAATGTGATTTGTTTGTATATGGTTTTTGTACTTATCTCTAATTTTGAAATGTGTTTTTTTATTTGGAAAAATAGGTAAACTACTAATTTGTATATACCACAGAGTAAAACAACATACCTATTAAGTTTCAATCAATCAGAATTGAAATTACAAAAGATAAAATATGAAAATAAATATTAGGCCCCTACATTAGACACTATTAATGTTATATTTAATTGTTATATTTGTTGCATAGGTAATTAAGAGTTTATTTTGTTGTTTCATATATTAATTTAAAAAGTATGTACAATCTTTATATATAAAATTGTTATCTTAATAAATACATTTTAAAAATCTATTTTATATTATTTTTTATTAACACAACATGTACCTATAGAAAGTTCTTTAATTTATGGTATAATTCATATTTATAAATAATACCTATTTTAGAATGCAATCTGGGTTGCATACCGAATTTCCCTAAACAAGGTAAAAATATTACATCTGGCAACATTGCTTCGAATCTGACATTTTATGTCAAAAAAATTGTTAAAAATTACATTTTCAAACTTAATTTTCTCAAAAATTACTTAAAAACCCGCATTTTTTATTTTTGATATTGGCTATTTAAAACACCCTTTTTTTAATGATGTCAATAAAAATTGGAAATTCGGAGTGAGTTAAAGTCGACCGGCCCCCGATAAAGTTATGCCAAATGCCTCAATGGCAGTAAAAAAGTAACGTTTTTGGTTTTACAAATATTAAATCACACATTATTTTCAGCTAAGCAGATCAAAGATTTTTGAAATTTAAAAAATAAGGGGGAAATAAAAAAACAATAAAAATTATTTGCTTATTGCTTTTTATGAAAAATCTAATAGTTAATTTTCCTGTCTTTGAAAATAGCATCCATTTGGTTTGAAAAAGATAAGCAATAATGACAAAACTTTCACTTCTTTCTTTTGCAAGTTACTGATCATTAATAGTCCTGGACAATATATACATTATAATTCTTATTAAACCACTACAAGTATTAACGTCCAATGGCTTTAACAAAATACCCATTCACCATTGGAGTCCAATAATTGGACAACATTCACGTGTGTTCGCATGAAATTTTAATTTCTTTTATATAAATTCTTTAAAAAACGAAGATCATTATCCGCTAGGAATACTTTGTCTCTCCTGGGCCGTAGTCACCTATATTTACCTACTTTTTTGACTAATGACAATGAATAAAACAAAAAAAAAATATTTAAATCGGTTGAGCCATTTCCGAGTTTAATAGTTATTTAATTTGGATCGCAGCTACGAACGCCATCTATTCAAATTAATTCAAAGTTGTACGTATTTCGATATTGGCAAAAGTCCATTATTAAAGCCGGGTCTACAATTG